ACATTTGCTAACAATAATGCTCCAATTACCATCATCAAAATAACCAGGATACAGATTATAGAATTTTCAGTCTTGCCCTACATGGATTATTTTGAAAGGAAAAAAAAAATCATTACTCTTTTATAAAACGGGTAAAGTAGTAGTTGGAGAAGGTCATAGACACCCTCATTTGGTTTTACCCTTTGTGAGGGCTTATAAGATCAGAATTCCAAATTTTTTCTGCTTGATTTTAATGAAAAAGTCATACATAAATAAAGAATAACCCCTTCTTAGAGTGTGAAAATTAGAAAGTAAAAGGTTATTTTGATATTTTCGGTAGAGGCTATTGTTAATAATATTCGAACGCATTCAGCTATACATGTGATGGAATATGTGCACCTCTGCACTCTCGTATGCCAGTGGCCACACATCCATAGGTGTGTGGGGGGGTCTCATATAAACACAATGGTGTTCCTGAAGAACATTTTAAAAAGAAGTTGCAGGATGCTGGAGAGATGGCCCAGGAGCACTGACAGGTCCTGAGTTCAATTCCCAGCAACCACATGGTGTCTCACAACCATCTATAATGAGATCTGATGCCCTCTTCTCCCGTGCAGGCAAAACAGTATACACATAATAAGTAAATAAACCTCAAAAAATGCTTTTAAAAAAGTGGAGGATGTAAGCAGTGTGGTCATTATTCTTGGTTAATCTTTCCAACTATGTATGAATGGCATGCACTCCCTTGTCACTTTACTTTTAACCTAAGATTTTCAAATTAAGAAGTTGCTGTAACATTTTGAAATAGTATCCAGTATTGGTAAATGTAAGTTGAAAAATGAAAATGTCACAAATGAATTATGAGTGTATTCTCCCTACCATTAGGGAAAATAATTAGAGTAATCTCAAAAGCATTAACAATAAACATAATTCATGATCTAATAGCTGTAGTCTAGGAAAATATGATAATAGAATAATTAAGCATGCGCATAACAATTTTTGAGAAATAATGCTTACCATTTCTAATTTATAATATGGGAAAATTGAGGGATTGCTAATTATATAATCAATAATTCAGTCATAATTTAAGGTACCATAATTTAGGATACCATTAAAATCATGTTTATATTCAATCAAACTATAGTTTTGTGTTTCCAAATATAAAAATATTTAAAAAATGATACTGAAGAAAAAAACTGAACACATGTATACACCAAAGAAAATAATTCTGGTATTTGATTTGGTTCACTTACCCTTTTTTTAACCCTTTATAAGAAATTGATTTTTTCCCTGAGGTAGTGTATTTGATTAAGGTTTCCCTTCCTTCTGCTCTCCCCAGTTCCTTTCCACCACGTATCCCATCTGGACCCACACCCTTTCTGTCTTCTAAGGGATAATAATAAAAAAATTAATATAATAATATAAAACTAAAACTAACACATTGGAATGGACAAACCAAGCAAGCCGAAGGAAAAGAGCCCAAGAGAAGGCACAAGCAACAGAGACGTACTCATTTGCACACTCCGTAATCCCATGAAAATCATCAATCTAGAAGGCAAAGTATGTACACAGAGGGCCTGGTGCAGATCCCTGCCTCAGGCTCTGTGCGTTCATCTGTGCACTGAACACACACACACACACACACACGGTGCTTTAGAGGTCCTTGTCTGTCCGCTGTCTCCTCTGGCTCTTACATTCATCTATCCTCCCTTTTTGGGGTTCACTGAGCCCCAGCAGGAGGGATTTGATGGTGACATTTGGTTACAGCTTAGTATTCCAAGGTCTCTCATACTATGCATAATGCCCGGCCGTGGCTCTATTTATTTATTTATTTATTTATTTATTTATTTATTTATTTATTTATTTCAGCTGCTTCAGGAGGACTTCAGGAGGAAGGACTTTAGGAGGAAGTTTCCCCGATGGTGGCTGACCAAGGGACTGATCTATGATGAGTATAGCTCAGTATCACTGGGAAGAGCCACTTTATCATTAATTTTTTTTAATGAGTTGATACAGTTATTTATTTATTTATCTTAAATTACATATCAATCCCACTTCTCTCCCTCCCATACCCCTCCTGCCACCACCCTCCCATCCCATTCCCCCCCCCCACTCCACAGGGAGGGTGATGCCTTCCAAGAGGGTTCAACAAAATTTGTCAAGTCATTTGGAGTAGGGCCTAGGCACCCCCTCCTGCCTCTAGGTTAAGGGACTAACTTATCCACCGTCATGGAGCCCTCATCTAGTAGCCGATGGAAACAGAAGCAGACGTCACAGCTAAACACTGAGCCAAACTGGAATCCAGATGCAGAGAGGGAGGACAAAACCAGGCTGGAGAAACCCACAGAGACAGCTGACCTGAACAAGGAGCAGCTAACGGCCCCCAGACTGATAGCTGGGAAGCCAGCATTGAACTGACTCAGACCCCCTGAACATGGGTCTCAGTTAGAAGGCCTGGGCAGTCTAAGGGAGCTCGGACAGTGGAACCAGGATGTATCCCTGGTGCACAAAAGGACTTTGGGGACTCATTATTGTTTTTTAAACAGTAGGATTTGGTTTTACCCTATGCCCCTGGGCTATCTAGTCTCAGATTCTTGTGCACCCAGGCAGTATCAGCATGGGCTCCTCCTGTGCCAATGACCTCAAGGCTACCCTGCATTTTCCCCCTGCCACATTCAGTGTGTCTGGTTTTATGGTGAGGTCTTTGATCCACTTGAGGTTGAATTTAGTGTAAGGTTTTAAGTATGGATATATTTGACCAGCACCATCTGCTGAAAATACTGTTGTGGTTTTCAGTGTTTGTCTTGGTTCTGTATAAGAAATGATGTCCCTGTAAGTATGTGGAGTTTTGCCTGAGTTTACATTTCAATACCATCAATTAATGCCAGTATTATGCCATTCCTTTTTTTTTCTTTTGACCTCAAGTGAAATTATAAATAAACAGAAATTTGGGATTAAACACTAATATAAATACAAAATTTCTACTTTTACATGAGAAAATATAAGATGATATCCTCTTATACTTTGAATCAATTTTATTAGCATTATTAGCATTTATTAGCATTATTTTTATGGTACTTATACTTTGTGTTGTTTCAATGAATATAAATACATGTGGAACCATAATAAAATCAGGACATATAGATATCCATTCTACCAACACTGCATATTTTGTGATGAAAACATTGAAAATCTTCTCTTTCAATTTCTTTGAATTACATAATATATTGTTTTCACTGTATTTATTTAACTCTGAAATTGTACATTTGAGTATGTTTCTCCTCCTATATAACTATATTCAATACAGTAATTGACAAACTTATCACCTTTTCTTTCTACCATTTCTATGTACCTCCTCTATAAGATTTCTAACCTCCTCTATAAGATCAACTTTTCTAGTGCCAGATATGGGTAATGTTTACTCTTTGAAGCCTGGCTAATTTCACATGGTTTCCAGTGCCATCTGTCTATCCTTATTCTAATGATGAGGTTCCTTTCTTCTAGAATATTAAAGAAAATTTACAAGCAATAAAGTAGAGCAAAGGACAAAAGGATCCTTAGATAAAGCATCCTGGGAGAAATGCCATCCTTAGAGAATGAAGAATATCTCACTTTATTTTACAATATCTGTTGAATGTATTTATCATGGCTGAACAGGGGAACATTACACTGTTACAGTGTGTTACATGATGTTCTAATCATTTTCTCTCTGATCCTGGGTATTCCAAGAGACATCTCCTCTGTGAACCTGAGGGGCTTCATGAGCATTGAACTAGCACCAAGGAACCATGGCTACTGGATTTACAGAGTGCTTCCTACATGATGCAACACCATCTGCCTGTATCGTACGTTATAAGAGAGCATCCTGTTTAGATAAGATTAATGCAAGTGAGACATGAATGCTGAACACAAAGATATGGTATTATATGTTCTATATTTGAATGACAATTAGTATTAGTCTAGCTCTGTATTACAACTTGCAATCAGGGATAGTGTTACTGCCAGAAGTTCTTTTTGTTTGTTTGTTTGTTTAGGATTGTTTGAGCTCTCCTGGATTTTTTTGTGTGTATGTGTTTCTATATAAAGCTGAAAATTGTGTTTTCAAGATCTGCAAACAATTGAGTTATAGGAATTTCATTGAACCTAGATTGCTTTTAGCAGGATGGCCATTTTTGCTATGCTAATCCTACTAATCTACGAGTGTGGAAGATTCACTATTCCATCTTTTGTATTCTGTTGGTGAGGCTTGCCTCTAAGTTTTGCATTCCAGTTTCTATTTTTTTTTTATTTCCAGATTTCCCACATTTTGGGCTTTCTTTATTGATTCTATTTCCAATTTCAGGTCTTGAATTATTTAATATATTTCATCCCACTGTTTATTTATCTATTTATTTTGTGTTCTCATAGATTTCTTTAAGGTAATCATTCATTTCTCCTTTAGGGACCTTAATCAGATTCATATTTTGAAGGTCTCTTTCTTGTGCTTCCAGATACGTCACAGTGCTCAGGGCATGCTGTGGTAGGATTGCTCGGCTCTAGTGGGGACAAATTGTTTTGCCTGTTTCTGCTTTTTAATGCTGGTATCTAGGCAACTGAGTTTGGGATGATTACAATTCTAAGTTATGATATCTGGCATTCTCTTTGTTGGCTGTGGTTTTTCCCCCTTGGTTTCTGTTACCTTCTCTGGTTCTTTGGAGAATGTAATGGCTATGTGTTGCCTGGTAGGATTTTTTTTTTCTGGGATCCTGATAGGGAGGGTCCCTACCGGTTCCAGATAAAATATGTGTAGGTATTTGGAGCTGACACTTAGTAATAGGAATGGGCTTGGAGGAGGTGGAGTTGAAGGGTTCACAGGATGGAGGAAATCTGGATATTTCACCATAATCTGGTTATTACTTTGGGGGTCAAGACAGAGAGTGTAAAGGGGCTACAGTAGAATTTCTACTCTCAACTTGGGGATAAGAATGCGGCCATTGTACTTGGAGGAATGGAGGGAGAGTTTAAGATTCACATTTGCCTACCTACTTGGTTGACAGGTTAGGCCTATGTGGTCTCTGAAAATACCTGCTGGAGTTGGACTTTGGGGGAAGTAAAGAGGGGGGGCATCTATGAGGTCCACTGGAGGTGGGGGTGAGGGTGAGGGAGGGCGGTCTGCAGCAGCGGATCCGCTGGGGTGAGGGTGAGGGAGGGCGGTCTGCAGCAGGGGATCCGCTGGGGGTGAGGGTGAGGGGAGGGCAGTCTGCAGCAGGGGATCCGCTGGGGGTGAGGGTGAGGGAGGGCGGTCTGCAGCAGCGGATCCGCTGGGGGTGAGGGTGTGGGAGGGCGGTCTGCAGCAGGGGATCCGCTGGGGGTGAGGGTGTGGGAGGGCGGTCTGCAGCAGGGGATCCGCTGGGGGTGAGGGTGAGGGTGAGGGAGGGGGGTCTGCAGCAGGGAATCCACCTGGGGTGAGGGTGAGGGAGGGCGGTCTGCAGCAGGGAATCCACCTGGGGTGAGGGTGAGGGAGGGCGGTCTGCAGCAGGGGATCCGCAGGGGGTGAGGGTGAGGGAGGGCGGTCTGCAGCAGCGGATCCGCTGGGGTGAGGGTGAGGGAGGGCGGTCTGCAGCAGGGGATCCGCAGGGGGTGAGGGTGAGGGAGGGCGGTCTGCAGCAGGGGATCCACCTGGGGGTGAGGTGAGGGAGGGCGGTCTGCAGCATCAGATCCGCTGGGGGTGAGGGTGAGGGTGAGGGAGGGCGGTCTGCAGCAGGGGATCCGCTGGGGGTGAGGGTGAGGGTGAGGGAGGGCGGTCTGCAGCAGCGGATCCGCTGGGGTGAGGGTGAGGGAGGGCGGTCTGGAGCAGCGGATCCGCTGGGGGTGAGGGTGTGGGAGGGCGGTCTGCAGCAGGGGATCCGCAGGGGGTGAGGGTGAGGGAGGGCGGTCTGCAGCAGGGGATCCACCTGGGGGTGAGGTGAGGGAGGGCGGTCTGCAGCATCAGATCCGCTGGGGGTGAGGGTGAGGGTGAGGGAGGGGCGGTCTGCAGCAGGGGATCCGCTGGGGGTGAGGATGAGGGTGAGGGAGGGCGGTCTGCAGCAGCGGATCCGCTGGGGTGAGGGTGAGGGAGGGCGGTCTGCAGCAGCGGATCCGCTGGGGTGAGGGTGAGGGAGGGCGGTCTGCAGCAGGGGATCCGCTGGGGTGAGGGTGAGGGAGGGCGGTCTGCAGCAGGGGATCCGCTGGGGGTGAGGGTGAGGGAGGGCGGTCTGCAGCAGCGGATCCGCTGGGGTGAGGGTGTGGGAGGGCGGTCTGCAGCAGGGGATCCGCTGGGGTGAGGGTGAGGGAGGGGCGGTCTGCAGCAGGGGATCCGCTGGGGGTGAGGGTGAGGGAGGGCGGTCTGCAGCAGGGGATCCGCTGGGGTGAGGGTGAGGGAGGGCGGTCTGCAGCAGGGGATCCGCTGGGGGGTGAGGGTGAGGGAGGGCAGTCTGCAGCAGCGGATCCGCTGGGGTGAGGGTGTGGGAGGGCGGTCTGCAGCAGGGGATCCGCTGGGGTGAGGGTGAGGGAGGGCGGTCTGCAGCAGGGGATCCGCTGGGGGTGAGGGTGAGGGAGGGCGGTCTGCAGCAGGGGATCCGCAGGGGGTGAGGGTGAGGGAGGGTGGTCTGCAGCAGGGGATCCGCTGGGGTGAGGGTGAGGGAGGGCGGTCTGCAGCAGGGGATCCGCTGGGGGTGAGGGTGAGGGTGAGGGTGTGGGAGGGCGGTCTGCAGCAGGGGATCCACCTGGGGTGAGGGTGTGGGAGGGCGGTCTGCAGCAGGGGATCCGCAGGGGGTGAGGGTGTGGGAGGGCGGTCTGCAGCAGCGGATCCGGATCCGCTGGGGTTAGGGATTGGGAGGAACGTCCCAGCAGGTGCTCTGCTATGTAGAATCCTGAGGATGAGACTGGGAGATTGGATTTGGATCAGCTGAGGAACAAGTGAAGATCAGCCATAGCCTAACTGTCTTCCTAGCCTGATCCAGTTACCTCTTATGGTGATATTATTACCATAATTTTTAATTTTTAATGAGAACATGTGATTGCTTCAATGTGGAAAAAAAAAGTCTTCATTTTCAAATATCAAATGTTTTCCATCTGTTCACAATTCACACTAAACTAATTCTTACTGCTCTTGTAATTACTATCTCCCAAATATATTTCTTCCCTGCATTATATACATTAAGCCTCACAAATGCTCCCACTAAATGTTTACATTATTCTTAACTTACAAAGCCAAACTGTTTTAAAATGCACATTTACCTACTTTCAAACAGTGAGAGGAAAAAAAAAGTGCCCTCATTTGCATTTCCTTAAAGAGTGCACTAATAATGTGATTGAAAGAAACCGTGTATGAGCCTTTTAAAACAGATGTTGACTTTGCTGATATTTAAGGAGTCACTAAAAGTGAGGTGGTATTAATAGGCTTCCATGCTTTTCTAGAAAGGTCCAGAGGAAATGAATGCTGTGGTATAGTCACTGGATGATCTGAGAAACATTGCATGATTTATGCAGTGAGATTTGAGCAAGATTTTACAAAGTGCATTTTTTTATTTTTGCTGAAAGTGTCCACAAAGTTTACTTTTATTTAAAAAAAATTAAGTTTTATCCATAAGACAAATTTGTTTTAAATATTTTTTCCATCATATAATCCTATGTGAGTAATCATGATATATTGTCATTATGTTATGAATTTCAAAATACCATGTATTAACAAATTTCTCTTCATAATAAAGTGACACAAGTGGTGTTCATTTATAGTGAGCTCTGTTGGAATCTCAAGTAAGGGCAGAGGGGGATGAGGGTCACAGAAAAATGTCTGAAACATTTATAAAAACATAATGAGAGATGGTGTGGCAAAGCCACAACATGGAACCGTGGAGGGAAAAAGTAGCGGATACAGTAGAATGGGGAGTGGCAGGGCTATATGGCATAGATTAGGGGCTGGGGCTTTATCTATAGTGCTATGGAAAGGTTATGAAAGCAGCAGAGACCCAGAAAGTCTCTTCTGGAAGGATCGGTTTTTGGAAGTCATTTCATAACGACTTAACCTGAAACTGCTTATCATCTGCTTAATGGTATGGACTAATCAGTAGTGGGAATTTATTGGTGAACTAGAGATAGGGTTAGGCTTGAGGGCATGAGTGTGAAATGTTAAACAAAGAAATATGAGCACACTGAGAGTTACTTACTGAGACATTTTCAGTTAGACTGGAAATAGAACCCAGAGTGGGAAGAATGGAGTGCTTCTATAGGAAGTGACATGGGACTGGGAAGCTCAGCAGAAGCAAGAGCAGAGTTCCCAGGAAGGCACATCAGGAGATGGAGGGAGGCTAGAGAAGTTCAAATATTTATGCAAACCCACCATGGCTGACAACAGAGAGTTTGAAGGGAATGAAGCCATTTAGATGAGATGTGTGGCAGGACTCACTCATACAGAGCAATGTGGGTCCAACACTGTGACCTCGTAGGTTTTGAGGTAGTGGCTAATACAGTACCCATGGCTGGCCTGGGATGTACTATGTATCCCTGTCTGGCCTAAAACTCACAGTAATCTTCCTACCTCAGCCCCCAGAATGCTGAGATCACAGTTATCAGGAAGCAAACTTTACTTCTTCATCTTGTACAATAGTGGACAATTTGTAAGCATAGTTGCTTATGCTCCCTTATTGTGGTTTAATAAGGACCAGGATAAACAAATAGGCTGAATAGGTGTTTACTCAGGGAGAAATAACTTACAACCTAGACAGACGAACACCAGCAGGTTCCACAGGATGCTCTCCTCTCCACATCCTGCCAGCAAGAGAGAGTTCCTGGCCCCTCCTCAGACCTAGTTCCACAGGTCACTTCCGCCCCTGGCACCACCCCCAATGGGCGTGGTCGGTGCCACAGAAGCAGACAAAGTGAGTATCCCACTACACTCCCTCATCTTCACCAACATTTTATACATTTTTATCTTAGAAGTTATTACAAGATACAGTTTAAATTTAGTCTGGTTTCATGTTTACTTATATTTTTTTCTTACATGTATGTCTATGCAACATGCATGTGCAACGCCCTTGGAGGCCAAAGAAAAGGGCATTGGATCCCCTGGAACTGGAGTGAGTGTTTGTAACCATTCAGGTGCTTGGAATCCACTTCCAGTATTCTTCAAGAACAACAAGTATTCATAAACTCTGAGCCATCTCTAAAATCCTAATACCTAGTTTAATGCTTATAGACTTATAGAACTACATTATTGTAGTTAAAATTTTATATTATGGGATATGTTTTGATTCATATACTTTGAAAAGTACAAATTATCTCCAAATGGCAAGCTCAAGATGTGTGATCTTCATTCTTAGAGAAATGAAGAAATAGAAAAACCTAACTGAAGTCAGGGCAAGGGCAAAATAAGATTTGTGTTTTGAAACTGTTGGTCTTGGGATCGCTGTGAGTGAAAGGAGACTATCCATGGATCCTAAACATGACCGCAGAAAGCAAGTAACAGCAGAGAAACAGAAATAGAAAAAAATAGACCAACTTGCCCTTCTCCACTGTCCCCTCACCTTAGGACAGACACTGTCCCTGGACAGACAACTCTGAGCTCTGCCAAACAAAAATTCCATGTCCCCCAGTGTAAGTCTGAGCCTTTAAACCTACAGGTCATGATGACAACTTCTATTTGTGTTCAAGATGGCTCTTGAACCACACCTCAAAAGATTCATTTACTCATATCTACTCTATTATCAGGAGGCATAATGAGATTCACTGTTTGAAAGAGCAGTAGAAGCCATGAACAGTTAACTGTGATCATGAAATGGTGAACTACACAATCCCAAACAGGCATTCATCTTTCCATATTTATTCATCAAGAACTGCCAAAAATAAAAATAAAAACAAAATGAGAATATGCTTGTCACAATGCTAGATTATCATGGTATAGACAGAAGGAATTTATGGACCCAGGAGCTTGAAATTTGAACAGGTAATTAATTGTAAATAAAATTAAAAGAACACTGAAAATAATAAGAAATAATAAGGTGCACCCAGACATTACCCTCCAAATATAGATCATATTCCCCTGCTTTAAGTCTGTGAGAACTGTGCTGAGTTAACCTTGAAATGCAATCCATCTTCCCTTGATTTGTTGTTTAGAAGTGTTGATTGCCCCAGGGAGAGGATTATCACCTCCTGTGAATTTGAGACACTTCTGCTGGAGATTTTCCCCACAGTTGGGGATCCAGCTGATTACTGCATCTGCCCAATGTCATGGCTGGACTTTTTACTGTTTCTGCTCATCATAATCTAATCAGGTAACCAGAACTTTAGAGGACCACAGATAACAGGATTTCTGTGTTTTGATTTCTCCTTTGTGTTTCTTCCTGTAAGAGTAGATACTGCTCATAAGGAAAAAAAAAAAAAAAAAAAAAGATTATGTTTATGGCCTATTCATTTTAATCTCATCTACACTGTTTGTTTCTGGTGCCTGTCCCATTCTGCTGTAGCCTTCCTGACCCAGGCCAGGTTGTTATTGAGAAACAATTTATATTATCATTGAGCCCTTGCTCCATTCTTAGATTTGTTTCCAAAGAAGAAGCAAATGGAGTTTTCAAAAAACAAACAAACAAACAAACAAAAAAAACCAAAAAACAAAAAACAAATTTTTAATCTTCCTTTTATAGAATGCTAGACAATTGTGAGTATAATTGCTTATGCACACACAGCTTTACTTACATACATTTTATCTTATAAGTTATTGAAAGCACAGCTTAATATTTATAGAAAAGATACTATAGATATGCATTTATGTTTTTATATGAAGAGCAGATATCAGAACTTATATAGGGATTTTTACTCACATATTTGGGAAAGTAAAAATAATTCAGAATTATCAATCCTTAACTCCCAAGAGGGAAAACAAATATATGGATGAGTTCTGAGAATCAAGTTGTCTCTAATCCAGAACAATATTTCGAAGAGTAAAAAAATACCATGTAAATTTATCGTAGACAGACAGCTATTTCTTGAGTGTCTAAATTTGATTAAGAATTCAAAAACATAATATAAATTCAAATTTTTATAATATGGCAAGTTAGAGGTACTTTGCATATTTCTGAATCTCTGCTAGAGGACACAGAAATAGGTCTGTCCTACCAGGAGAAGTGAGGGATACAGAAAGGCACAAACATACAGCAGTAAGTGTATGCTTTATAAAGTGCTTTATAAAGCAACCTGGTGAAATCCAAAGTATTGCAGTTTAGCTTTATAAAAGAGACAAAAAGAAAAACCCTAAGAGTTAGTGCTTGGCAACTTGGTAGAGAAAGGGAAGCTCCTCCTCCATGGTACATTAAATAATAGAGAAAAGGAAAGCGAAATTCTCTAATTATTCATTTTGTTGAATACATTCTTTTTTTTCCATTTTCTCCCTATAGTCATGCAGTTATTTTTTTTAACTTCCAGCTCTTTATATGATGTTTTCCCCTGCAGCCATGTGATACATTGACTAGAAGGGATATGGAAAATCACCTAGGCAGCTGTTACAGTTGTCAAGTTTGGCTTCTAGGCAGGGCATCGTGGTGATAGATCACCAGATAGTAGCCATGGAGCTGAAGCAAATAGGTAAGTAGATTTTCAAGATTGTGTATTAAATTCTCCAACAACATACTAAAAAAATTAGCTCAGTGGATAAATTCACTTGTCACATAGTCAGTCCGATTTCTAGCTGTATACCATGGTGTGTGTGTGTGTGTGTGTGTGTGTGTGTGTGTGTGTTGGAGAAAGAAAAGGGATAGCTATGGGGATTACTCCCAGTATTCTGACATGAGAAACTCATTTAAAAAGTATTTTTAAATAAATAAAT